CGCGCCGCAATGATGGGCGCGGCGCTCGACTCTGGCCACGCGCAGAAGTGCCCCGAGCCAACCGTAGCTCTTGCAGTAGCCTGCGTCGCTGGCCTAGCTTCGCACGCAGTGCGAACGCCCCAAGCCGAATGGCCACCAAAGGAGCGGTGGGCGGCCAAAAGCCGCACCGCAGATGCCCCTCGCAGAGCCTGGTAGGACACCCGGACTACGCAACACCTCGCTCCCATCGCTTGGGCTCGCGTCGCCCCGCGCCGCTGCGCGTCGCGCGGCGCCCCCGCCCCTTTGGCCCGCGCGTGGGGGCTGGGGCGGGGGCGCCAGCCCCGCCGTTTCGCGCCCGCGATCAACGTTGCACGATGATCGCCCACCGCAAAACCATAGCGCGGACGCCAAACGGCTCGGCGCGCCGCGCCGCGACACTGGGTGCGGTGCTCGACCCTGGCCTCGCGAGGCAATGCCCCGAGCCGGCCGCCGCTCTGGCGCTGGCCTGCGTCGCCCGCCTAGCCGAGCGCTCGGCGCGAAAGCCCGCTGTCACGGAGCCTCGGGCACTTGGCTTAACCGCGCGCGCCTCGCGCGTGCAAGCGCAGACCCAATGCGCAGCGCGCCGCTGGAGCGCCAGCTCGCGCGCTCCGCCTGGCACGAGGCCAGCCCCCCTTTACCTCGCGCGTCACTGTCGGAAATGCAATGGCTTCTGGTCTCGAGAGCAGCGCCCTGATAGAGGGACTCGACGGAAAATGATATATGAAGGCAGCGCTCGACTAAGTCGTGCGCGCGCTCGCGCCGAAGCGCTCGAATATCGGATTCGCCCAGGCGCTCTGCGCCAACCGCCCCGACCGCAATCCGGATGGCGACCGCGACGTCCGCGGCGGGGGGGGCTCGCGAAGGCCTGCGTGCCTACGCCCGTTTTCTCGAAGAATTCGCCGAAGACGCGCGCTGGGCACGTGGCTTGCGGCGCCGACACTTTCGTTAAATTGTAACTGGCCGTCCCGAATCACGCGCCGCTGCAAACGCGCGCTTGACGCCTCTGCTGGGAGGCGCGCCGATGCCCGGCGCTGCTCGTTGAACGCCGAACTATCGAAGACAGCGGGCCAATCTTTCACTTGGTAGGCGCAGCAGACACGCATGCCCCAAACGCACGAGCATCGCTACGCCAAATCTGATTGACGCGGTCGCCGCGCCCGAGACGCTCGCCCCGACAAATCTGCAAATGAGGGCGCGCTGTGCGAGTCGCTCGACACTATGCGGCGCCGGGCACCTCTTCGCGACGCCCAATCACTCGCGCTTCGCAGAGTGTTCGCCGAAGGCAGCCGTCGACGTCGACAACGGCTCAGATGCCGTTTGTAAGTGCCCGCAATAATTTGAAAACGCGCCGATCACGCGACATGGCGCACTTGCAATCTGGAGGTCCTCCGCGCTGGCGGGAAAGGGTGGATCCCGCCCGAGGGTGCACTTTGAGCGGCGCAGCCACCAACGCACTGCGGATGCCCAGCACTGCGCTGAACGAGGACAACTATCAGACGCCGCGTCGTGGCGCGCCCTCGCGGCGAAGCACCGGCGCTCGGTCGGGCCATGACAGCGATGCCGTCGAGGGCTTGCCGCGGCCCTGCACTTGGCGCGGCCGAATTGTGTTGCTTGCGAAACAGCACAGTCGACGACGGCCTCGGCCGCCCATCGAGCCTGCGAGCTCGCAGCGGGGTCTCTTTCGACGGGGCGCAGCGGGGCGCGGAGTTGCTCCGGCGCCGTCGCCGCGGCTGCAGGGCCCGGCCGCCAGCCCGGCGGCGGCCCGGGCGGCGGCCGCGGGCGCGAGGCGATGCTTGCGCCGCAGCCCTCGGGCGGACGGCGTGGCCCCAGGCGACCAGGCCTCCCGTCGCGCGCCGCCGGATCCCTGGCGGCCAGCGGGCACCGGCGCAGCGATGCTTCTGCTTCGTTGCAACGCTTGCAGCGACTGCGGGAGAAGCCCTCGAAATCTGGCGCGCCCTTTTGAATTTGGCCCTGCGTGCGGCCGCCGCGCGCGGCAGTCAGATGCCCGCGGGCGCGCCGCCTCGCCGGGATGTCGCTGCTGCGCGATGGCAGCGGGCGCCATCTCCAGTCAGCATCGACGACGGCCAGATGCTTCCAGTGAAGCGCATCCTGCGGTTTTCAGCGCGCGACAAGCTTGGCGCAAAAGGCGAACGGCTGCCGCCGCAAATCGCACGCACGCGTAGCCATTGGGCGAACACCGACACATCCGACATCTCACCGCGCGTGTCTGCGCGGCCACGCGCTGCGGGGTAGGGGCAGAATAGCAGGAAGGCCTTCAGCGCGCGCCAACGAGGAGATCCGCGCAGGCGCGCGCAGAACAATCTCGCCTTGAGGTCCGTCGACGCACGCGGGCGGGCCACGCCCTCGCGCCACGGCATTGCTGCCCGAGCCTCCACGGCGTCGGTCGCAGCAGAAGATGGCCACAAAGTGCGGCGGCAGGTCGTGGAGGGGCACCCGTCGCAACAACTCAACTGCCAACAATTTTCGCGCGGCCCGGCGACCGCGCTGCCGCTCCCGCCCTGCGAATGGCGGGCTCAATTGCCGCGTGCTTGGCAGTCGATTTGCGCGTGGAGCGCAGCGCTTCTTCGAGGCGGGAGAGTCCCCCCGCCGCTCAAGCGAGTCGCCCATGACCTGGGCCCCCCTGCTCGCGACCCGCGCGGACCAGCGCGCCAGCGCATCCCGCTGGCCGGGCCGCGCGGGCAGGCCGGCGGCGCGCGAGCGCCCGCCTCTCCAGCCGAACCAAAGCCCTCCAGCGGGCCCAGCTCCACCTCGAGCAGGTGGGTCCAATGGGCGAATTCATCCTGCTTTAGCACTTCGGCCAGATTTTTGTAAACTCATCCACGCGCGGGGCCTCGGCCTCGGCCTTGGCCATCCATGCGGGGGGTTCTACGGCGGCAGTAGTACCCGCGCAAGCGCGATCCCGATCTCCTCACGCTGCGCAGCTGCGCTTCGCGCGGGCGCCGCGGCCAGCGCGCGGGGGGCGGGCGGCGCCGTGCAACCCGTCGCGCAAACCGCGCAGTCACGCGCAAGAGACGAGCGGCTGCGCCTAGGCACATCGCGCCACGAACGCGCGGACGCGCGCCGGGCGCGGGCAGCAGGTGCTTCGCACAAGAGCATGCGTACCACGCGCGGGCAGCGATGCGACACCCATGGGCACGCGCGCGCCTCGCACGTGCACCATTGCGGCCACAAGTAGGACTGGGGCCCGCGCCTCCCACGTGCAAGGCGCCACGCGCGGGTGGAACATGCCGCGGTGGAACGCGCCCGCAGTTGGGTCTGGGGCACGCGCCTCACGCGCGCAGCGCGCCGCGCGCGGGCGGATAGACGCGCGCCTCGCGCGCGCGCGCGGTCGCGGCCGCAGTTGGGCCCGCGACGCGCGCCTCGCGCGCGCAGCGCGCCGCGCGCGGGCAAAGCGTGCAACGGAAGGCCAGACGCATGCCTCGCGAGCGCAAAGTGCCACGTTCGGGCAGAACGCGCCGCGAGGGGGCAGACGCGCGCCTCGCGCGCGCGGAGCCGAGTCCGCCATGGGGCCAGCGACGCACGCCGCGCGCACGGTGCCACGCATGGGCAGAAGGTGCCAGAACCAGGCAGACACGCGGCTCGCGCGCGCGGAAATGCGGCCACGAAGTGGCCAGGGGCACGCGGCTCACCGGCGCGTCGCGCCACGCGTGGGCAGCGGGCGCCGCGGAGAGGCCACCCGCCTCGCGCGTGCATCGTGCCCCGCGCGGGACGACGCGCGCCCCGCGCGCGCGACGCATGGGCAAGCGCGCGATGGCGCCCGCGCGCGCGGCCGCGGCGGGCGAGCTGATGCCGCGCCGCTGGCGCCTCTTGTCGCGCGCGGCGGGTTGCCCCGCCGAGCGCGCGCGGCGCCGCGCATACCTCTGGGCGGCGAACGCGACCCCTCGCGCGCTCGCCTATGCAACCGGGGCGGACAACGCGACGCCTCGCGCCCATCGCTTGGGCCAGCGTCGCCCTGGACCGCCGCGCGACGCCCTCCCCCCTCGCCCAAGCCAGGGCGGCTGGGGCGGGGGCGCCCGCCCCGCAATTACGTGCCCGCGAGCGACGTTGCGCGACGGTCGCCCACCGCGACCGCTCTGCGGGCGCCCCGCCGTACGCGGGCTCTCTATAGCTACCGTCGGCAAACTCTCCATCGGGGGAGTCGTCATGGGGGCCTGCGGCGGCGCAAGCGCCGACGTCGCCGCCGGGCCCCGTGGGGCGGCGACGCCGCAGGAGGTGGCACCCGCAGTTCGAGCGGCAGACGCCTGGCTGCGTGCGCGCCCGCGGTGTCCAAAGCTCCTTGCACGAGCCGACTCCATGCGCGCGATGCGCGCAATGGCCCGACCGCGGGAAGCAGAGCGTGCCTTGCTGGTTCCTCGCCCAGACGATGCGCATAGACTGGCGGGGCGCGTCGCTGCTGACGCCGGGGCCAGGGCGCTCGCACTCGCGGGCGCCCCCGCGCGCCTTGGCCATGAGCTCCATCGGGCGGGGGGTTCTCGAGGGCCATCACTAGAGGCATCGGGGGGCACGCCGCTGCCGTCGCAGCGCTGGGCGACGAAGCGCAGCGCGCGCAAGGCCCGGCCGAAGCTGCGGCAAGGATGCGCGTCGTCAAGTGCAGCGTCGGCGACCCGGCGGGCGCCTGACAGGCATCGGCTGGCGCGCGTTGAGCCAAACCCTTTCGCCGCGGTCGGGCGGCCATGAGCGACCGGCTGTCCTGCTCCATCCCGCGCCGCCAGCGCGCGCCAATGCCGTGCCCTTCCTCGGTGAGTGGGTCCGCCGCCTGCCAGCTCTCCTCTGGGTGGAAGGCGACGGGCCCCATCGGCCGCCTGGGCTCGAAAGCGCCTTCGTTCGAAGCGCCCGCAGCTGTCGCGGAAAGGCGGGCCGCCAATTTTCCCGACAGCGCCAGCGAAGGTGACGTGCGAAGCGGCTTGGGGGGGGGCAGTGCAGTCTTCGGGGGAATCCCATCCATGCGCGAATGGCCAGACGCGCGGCTTGTTCAGCAGCCAAATGTCGCGGTCGCGCGGCGCGCCGATGCTGTCCAGGCCCTCCCGCGGCGGCAAGCCGCGGCTGCAGTCCGCGCCGGGGTAATCGGCGCAGGCCCGCGTCATGAAGCGGTTCAGCCCGACGCTGGGCAGGCGCAGGCACTGGGGATGTGGATCAGCGGTTCCGCGAGCTCCTCGGATGAGCCCGCGCGCCCCCGCCAGCTGGGCATTGGCGATCCCGGACCCCCCCCGAAGTAGCGCGCGACCCCGTCGTGCGCGGTGTCGCACAGCCGCCTCGCGATTGGCGCCAAGTCTCAGTGTTGATAAGGTCGCGGTGCATGCGGCGCTTGACCGCCGCCCTGAGATTCGCAAAATTCTCGCAATGCAGCCGCTGGCCCTCGGGCGCGCAGCTACCCGCGATCGGCCCGAACTGGCCACTGCACTGGACCTCGCAACAATGATAATCGTCATCGTCGACCGGGGTCAGCCAAAGGAAGCGCGGGTAGAAGGCGCATGCGAACTTCCTGAAACTGAAATGCTCGCCCCCTGCGTCGAGGTAGCGGGTCGCGTTAGTGATCTCGCCCATATTCGAGTCGCGAGTCCGCCTCGTGGACGTCGTCGAAACATGCCAGTGCCGTCAGGAACGATCCACCCCGCGTCGGGCACGATGAACTACTTCATGCCATCAAGCCTCTGGGTTCCGTAGAAATCGGCCAACCGCGCTGGCGTGATCAGCTGCGAGCTGACTCCCGCGCAGTCGTCCAAGGTGGCCGAGCGCGCGCCGACGACGTCGGTCATGTCGGGCTGCGGGGGGGCCTTCGCGCGCAAGATGCCCGCGCTCTCGCGCTAGGCGCGGGGGGCGGCGCATCCGCCGCCGTGGCGCACTGGGTCGGCCACGGCGTCTTGTCGCTGGCGTCGGAGCCCGCGATGACGGGCGCGCTCCACCTCTCGCCCCCGACGCGGCACGAGTCGACGGCCCCGGCGGGCAGCTGGCGGACGGTGTGGACCATGAGGTTCTTGCCCCCACAGAGATAAGCAGGGTCGCCCCTGCGCCCAGAGGCCTGGCCGCGTTCTAAGTGCGCGCCGCGTTGCACGCCCCAGCTAGGGCATGGCCGCAGACGCCGAAGTCGCTGCCGCCGCAAAGGCAGTAGCGGGTCTTGCACAAGACAAAGGAGCCATAGCCTAAGTGGGCGGCGTTGCATGTCTCCGCCGCGCAGGCGCCCTCCAGAACTGGTACCTGCCCCCTGCGAAGGCCCGCCCGGGGGGCCCGGCCGTCTGGTCGCCCGTCTTGTCGGGGTCGGCGCTACAGCAGTCCGCGCAAGTGGTCGACGGAGAAAACACCCCGGAATGTCAGCGGGTGGCCGCGCGCAGGCGAGGCCGATCCCGCGCTGGTTGTGGACCGTGGCCCGCTCGACCCGCGAGATCCTGATTCGGGGAGACGTCCGACTCAGGCACGGGGGACCCGGGTTGGCCTGACGGGGTCGTCAAGAAAATGACGAAACCCAGTCTGCAATTTGACGCAAACTCCCGCTGCAAAAAACCCTACAACAACGGGCCGTCAAAATCCAGGACGGGTTCTCTGTCCATGCATATATGAAGAAACAAATCGTTGGCAAACCCGAGCTCTGGCGAACTTTCATCTTACGCCCCCCCGGCTGATGCAATCGGCTTGCGCTGCGGTGGCCAAGCGCGCCCCGACGACTGCCACGTCGGTTGTGCCCGCTGTCGGCCCAACGAACCTGCAGAGGTCTGTCCACGCATGGCCATATAAGCTCACCTCGACGCTGTAGTTGCTCATGGCTCACCTGGGGCCGCAACAACCGCCCATCCTCTTCGTCGCGAGGTGCGAGGCCATCCACGAGGCAGGCGCCATTAACGAGCTCCCGCACCAGCCTGCGAACCCTACCCAAGGTGAAACGCAACTGCCCGAGATCAAGCCGTTTTTCCATCGGACTTCAACGAATGAAGATTCTGTGCTGTGGGTGCGCCTGGTCTAGCGCGATTTAGCCTTCTGGGGTTTACCTCAAGACACCCACTGTGCCACGACGACTACGGACCTACTGCTTACTACGAGACCGTGCGCCAGCCCGCGAACCTCACCTGGCTCGACCACTCGCGCGCCTCCGCGGCGCCGCCGACGAGGAAAACGGGTTTGGCGGCGTGGGCAGACGACAGGGGCACGGCCAGCGCCGCCGCGAGTGCGGCCCCTGCGGCGCGAGCGCGGCGCCCGCGGCGGCTCGCAGCGCAGCTGGCGGCCCATGGCCCCGGGGGCGGCGGCTGCGGCCAGGGCCGCGGGTAGCAGCGCCGGCGCTGGCGGGGGCGGCGTGTGGCAGCTGGCGGGGGCAAGTCCTTGAACCAGACGGCTTGTGCCAAGCGGGAGTGAGACCAAATGAAAATCTGCGGACAGCGCAGGACAACAAAAACCATGATCCTGGCGAAAACACAACCATATGGAGTTGTGGATGCCTCAGTTGTGGATGTCGTCCTCGGCGAAGCTCCCTATGGGGTCACGAAGCGCGTGAGGGGTGGGCCAACCATTCGGGGGCGCAGCCGCGTGCGAACACACCCACTGGGGCCTTCGGTGGGGCTCCCTATGGGGCCATGGTGCGAGTGAGGGGTGTGCCGACATTGGTAGTGGAACTGCATGCGGACCCTGCCACAGAGGCCTTGGGTGGGGCTCTCCATGGGGCCACGAAACGTGCGAGTGGTGTGCCGAGATGAGGATGGAACCGCATCGGGACCCTGCCAGTGGGGCCTTCGTTGGAGCTCCTCCTGGGGCCACGAAACGACGTCTGAGGGCTGTGCCGAGGTGAAAGGCGGAACCGCGTTCAAAGGTAGTTACTGGGGCCTTCGGTGGAACTCCCAATGGAGCCACGAAGCGTGTGAGGGGTGTGCCAACCATTCGGGGGCGCAGCCGCGTGCGAGAACACCACTGGCGCCGTCGGTGGGGCTCCCCATGGGGCCACGGTGCGAGCGAAGGGTGTGCCGAAATTGGTAGTGGAACCGCATGCGGACCCTGCCACTGGGGCCTTGGGTAGGGCTCCCTATGGAGCTACGAAGCGTTTGGGGGTTCGCCAAGATGGAAGGTGGAACCGCATGCGAACGCAACCGCTGGGGCCTTCGGTGGAGCGCCCTGTGACGCCACGAAGCGTGTGAAAGGGGGGTCTCACATGGCGGGCGGAACTGCAGGCGAACGCAACCGCTGGGGCCTTCGGTCCAGCTCCCGATGGAGCCACTAAGCGTGTGAGGGGTGCGCCGAGATGGGGGTGGAACTGCATGCGGACGCAGCCGCTGGGGTCTTATGCGGAGCTCCCAATTAAGCCACGAAGCGTGTGAGTGGTGCCAAGACAGAGACACGCGGAGGGCAGAGACACGGATGGGAGGAGGGAGGAGGGGCAGCGGGAGGAGGAGGAGGGGGAGGTGGGACGCGGGGCGCTGTCTCTTCCAAACGAGGACCCAGCACTACTGGATGGTTGGGAATGAATGAAGTCTGGGCGACTCGGCGACTCCAATCAGTGGTCTTCTTCCCTCCAGAGCCATTCAGAGCAGTTTTCAGCAATGCCAGGATCAGTCAGGCACAGCAGTGCTTGGCATCGCTTTGCGTTGCTCGGCATCGCTTGCTTGGCATCGCCTGCTGTTGTTTGGCGCTACTTGGCATGGCTTGGCGTTGGCTTTGCATTGCTTGGCGTTGCGTGGCATTGCGTTGCAATTGCGTTGGCATTGTTTGGCATTGCGTTTGCATCGCGTTGGCGTTGTTTGGCACTGCTTTGCATTGTTTGGCGTTGCTTGGACGCCATGCTCCTAGCAACACGGTACAATGCACCGCAATGCCAAGCAAATGCCAAGCAACAGCCAAGCCATGCCAAGCAGCCCCGGGCAAGCAGCGGGGCGAGGCCAGCGGTGACGCGCCCAGCACCCCCTGGTTAGAAGCCCCCCAGATGGGATCGGAAAATATGGGAACGGAGGATCGCGCCGCATCGCCAATGCATCGCCGATGCATCGGCGATGTGTCGGCGATGCACCGGCGATGCGTCGTCGAGGTCGGCGATGCATCGGCGACGTCGACGTCCCGCAAATCGGGCGCCGCATCGAGCCGCCTCGTCGATGTATCCGCGATGCGGCGCGATCCTCCGACCCGTCTGCTCCGACCCCATCCAGAAAGCCCAGATTCGGGCGTTGGCGGAACTGGGTTTAGTGGAACCTGGCTTAGTGATGTGTACCTGGGGGCGCTCCCCTCGCCCCGTTCCGCTAACCGGAACTGCCGTCACCCGAAAAACACCAGTTACGGCAAACCTGGTTTAGTGAATCTAGCAAATTGAGGGGCCCTAAGGCCCTACCACTAACCGGGTCCCCTTACCCGGGGTCCTGGCTATACCCGACAGATTGGTAGCCCCAGAGGCGAAACCCTGGCTGCGGAAAAACGCGGAGGTTGCAACAGACAGACCTGCGTTGGAGGTCTGGGGCCCCCCCCTTTCCATCCCTCCGCCCGCGGCGACGACGACGACGACGACAACGACGACGACGACGACGACGACGAGGACAAGGACGACCTTCCGAGCACGAGCCCCAGGAGCCGAGCGTGCGGAAAACACACAACGGCGCTTACGAAACAAAGCCGCCTGCAGGAGGCCGCCTGGGGCCGTCCCGCCCCCCTTCGGTGGCAGCTCATGGGAGCCTCGCATACCATCTTGTCGGCTCTTGCGAATCAACGCTCAGTCGACGCTAAATCGACGCTAGCCGACGCTAAATCGGCGCTATCCACTCCCAGACGCTAGTCGACGCTAGCCGACGCTGAAGGCGGAATTGGAAGGGTGTACAAGGCTCGCATGATTTGCTACCGAACGCCCCCCCTCTCCGCCAGGAGGACGCCAACTACACGCGCGCACCGATCCTGGCGAGGCCCCTCTTGGGCCCAGGCTCGGGATACACGCCCTCCTGGCTTGGCTTTGCTGGCGTGTGCACCCATCCTGGGCCCAGAATCGACCTGGCCGTGATCGGTGCAGGCGTACGGCTGGCGTCCTCCGTCCGCGGCGCCGTCCTGAGGCTGCCGCTCCGGCGTCCCCTCCTCCGTCTTGCTCCGCTTCGCCGCGGGGGCCTGCCGAGTTCAGGCGAACCGCCCGGGGAGAGGGAGGGAGGGAGGAGGGAGGAGGAGGAATTCGGAGGTGGACCTCGGCAGGAGCACGAGTCAAGATTGCGGTGCGTCACAATGAGCTTGCGCGGTCAAGCTCGTCGGGTGCGCTACATAAGCGGTGCGTTCGCAGGAGAGGTGATGAGGGAGGAGGAGGGGAATAGCACATTGAGGATCAGGATGATGATAGTGAAGCGCCCCCAGTGCGGTTCTTCTGGATATGACAGCGAGGCACAAGCAGGAAAGCACAGCTGGGAAGCCTGTTCTTCCCCCAGAAACTCGAGAAGCTTCATACAACTTGTTCATCGCTGGAGCCTTTCGGATGAAATCGATTTGGCCACCCTAGCTGGTCCCACGTGTACACCTTGCGTCTGGCAGACCTTCGAAACGTTTTGATCGAGACCGAGTTTGGACTTACCCAGACTCGCCTTTGGGATGGAATCTGACCCGCTCTGCCATCGACGCCTCGAGGCGCTGACACTGGGAGGGCCAAGAAATACGGGTCATAAGTCATAAGATAAACTCTGGACCGGTGTGCGTAGAAGCCCATGTACGGCCGCAGACGCCCGGACAACTTAGGTTCCAGCCCCTCGTGGGGATTCCTTGGTGCTCTTTGCCATCCACGCCAACGTGTTTGCCTCCGCTAGCCCCTGACCTCCGTCGCCATGCTCTTGTCGCGACGTGGGACCCCTAGACCTCTCGACCCGTCCATCCCAGGATCCGCTTTCCGCGGCAGGTCGTTCCCTGCCCACAAGTCTTAAGTCGAGCCTGTCGCCCTACAGGGGGGTTTTCGACGACAAATAAAAAATACCCCAAACATAATCAACAAATAGTCCAAAAATAACCTGGGGACTATTTTTGCATATGTTTTGAACCTTTTTGTGACATGTTCGGGATCTTTTTTTTATTTGACGTCGAAAATCCCCCTGTATGGGGGACACGCCCGACATAAGACAAGTCCCGAAAGCTGCGTCTGGACGCCAGAATCATCAGAGAAAGCCTGTCGTGATGCCGTCGCGGCCTGCTGGGGGTCTGGTTCTTCGGCCCCCGCTCGCCCGCAAGGCACTGCCAGAGAGGGTCGCCACTAGCAAGGGGGGGGGGGTCGGCACCTCCTCCAAGGGGGTGGGGGGAGCGGGCAGGAGGAACACCCAGGCCTTCCCATCCCCAGAGAACCACCCACAACGCACAGAAACATTCGAAAGAGACTCGATTCTAGATCCTCCCTCCTCCTCCTCCTCCTCCTCCTCCTCCTCTCCTCCTCTCCTCCTCTCCTCCTCCTCCTCCTCCTCCTTCCTCCTCCTCCTCCTCCTTCCTCCTCCTCCTCCTCCTCCTCCTCTTCTTCTCCCTCTCCTCCTCCTCTCCTCCTCCTCCTCCTCCTCCTCCGCCTCCTCCTCCTCCTCCTCCTCCTCCTCCTCCTCCTCATCTTCCTCCTCCTCCTCCTCCTCCTCCCTCCTCCTCCCTCCTCCCTCGTCCTCCTCCTCCTCCTCCTCGGCACTCGATCCTCATGGCATGTTTATGGGGCTCCCCCCTGCAACGTCCGTCCAGGGGGGGAAAGGCGGGCCCTCAGGGTACCGTAACGGTAACGTTGTGGGCGCAGCACCACAACACGCCTGCCAGCACCACGGCATGCCTGTGAGCACCGCGGCATACCCATGGGGGGGCCGGACTCCGCCGCCCCCCCCCGCATGTTCGGCACCATTCGGGGGGGGAGGGAGACGGGACCCCCAGTGACAGGCGCTGCGGGCTCACCGGAAAACAGGCAAGATCAGGATGGGGTGGCGTTCCCCCCCCCCCCGTGGTGATCCTCTTCGGCACTGCCTGATCCCTCCAGCGGCGCTGGCCCAACCATGGCCCGCGCCGGTGGCCGTGAGGGACAAGGGGGTCCGGCGTGAAACGGCCCTGGACCCCGGGGACTTTTCACCTACAAGGACCGCCAAAAAAAGTTGACGCTTCTTGTTTTCGGCGCTTGTGCGATCGGCGCTACTTCAATGCTGGCATGAGGCCTGTGGCCCACGCGCAGCGGTGTCCGAAATTCGGCAGCCCTCGAAGCATCGAAGAACGCGGTTTCTCACAAGTGCCCGATCTATCGGGTGCTTCGATTTTGAACGGCGTTTCGATACATTTCTGACGAGGCTTGCAGGACCAGCTCTTCACCACGAGCCGTTCTTTGACCGCCCCTGGGGCCCATGGCGGGCCCTCAGGGGGGGGGGGCCCGAGAGAACGGCCAGAGGCGCCCACGGACCAGGAATCGAACACCTGTGTAGGCCCACCTCCTTCCTCCTCCACCTCCTCCTCCCCCTCCTCCCTCCCCTCGCCTCGGTCCTGGCTCGGAGGGGCGAGCCGTGCTGCGATCAGGCGTGAGGTAGAGGAGGGGAGGAGGGGGAGGAGGAGGAGGAGGAGGAGGAGGAGGAGGAGGAGGAGGAGGAGGAGGAGGATTAGGAGGGGGGAGGAGGAGGAGGGAGGAGGAGGAGGAGGAGGAGGAGGAGGAGGAGGAGGAGAGGAGGAGGAAGGAGGAAGGAGCAGGAGGAGGAGGGAGGAGGAGGGAGGAGGAGGGAGGAGGTCCGTCACCGCACGGCCTTGGGACCCTGGAGGCCGCGGCCGCCCGAGGCGGCCTCGGAGCAGGAGCCGAACCCGAAACCGCGCGGCGAGCCCGCACCCCCTCGGGCCCCCATGCGGGGCGTGGCCACCACACCGTTTTGCCCTGACCTTCTGGGGTGCGAAAGGAGAGCCCTCCAGACCTCTAGACCTAATGCGGGATGACGATAAATTAAGACAAATGGGAGAGAACAGTTAAAAACATAGTTTTCTGCTATTTATGCACAATTGTCTGACTGGGGGGAACGATTAAACAAATAGTTTTCCAGCCCGCGGCCGATTTTTTCCAATCGTCATCCTGGGCGCCGCCGCGTGAACACGACCCCCCGGTCATTTATTAATCGTCATCCTCCATTATCTGGACTGCCTAAGACCTCGCCAGGAATTTGGATGTCCAGGCCCTGGTGCTACTTCTTGGCCATCCTGGGAGGTCAGGGTGGGTGCCCCCAGCTTCCCTCCGGGGCCCGCCTCCGTCCGCAGAGGGAGAAAAAACGCCATAAACATAAGCAAACTGGAGCCAGTCCGCGCAGATTTCCGGGATCTGCGCCGGACCCCCCTCCCTTGGTGGGCCCTGGAAACGACAAGGCCGTTTTTGTTACCGGTTCCGTTTCGCCGTTTTTTTACCGGTTCCGACGCCGTTGTTTTACCGGTTCCGTCGCCGTTTTTTACCGGTTCCGGCTCCGGTTCCAATTTGGGCTGTTTCCGGTCACCTTTTTTTGCCGTTCCCATTTTCAATGGCCATTTTTCTGGAAACGTTGAGAAAACGGCCCTGCCGTTTCTGGGGCCCACAAAGCCCCCTCCCTGGCGCGCGGAGCGCGCCAGGGGGCGGCGCCGGAGGCGCCGCCGGGGGCGGCCCAGCGCAGGTCCAAGACATCCGCGCGCGGGGCGCCCAAAGTTCCGGTTTTTACGGCGTGCTTGCTTCTTCGGCTCCTGCCACGCTCGGGGGTGGACAGACCTCCCTTTCGTAAAACGTGGTTCAGTGAAAACGACCTCGGGCCCAAGCCTGGCGGGCGCAAGCCTGGAAAATGACGGCCGCGGCGCCCTCTCGAGAACCGAAAACGGACAATTCACTAATCGACGTGCCAGGGTAGGAGGTCCATCAACCTCCGACAGGCCCACTGGGCGGGGGCAGCGCGCGGCCTCCGGCCCATCGGCGGCCGGGCGGGCATCCTGTGGCGCCGCCTCCGCCGCGGTGCCGGCAGGCGCCGCCTTCGCCGCGGTGCCGGCAGGCGCCACCTCGTCCTGCGGGCGGCCCGCCGCGTGCCGGGGCGACGCCTGGGCTGCGCTCTGACACGGCGTGGGCCGCTCCAGCCTGAACGATCGCGGCTTGAGGACAGAGGGCAGCAGTTGCGCCAGCAACTCAAAGCGTGACGCTGATGATGGTGGTACTGATGATGATGCTGATGACGATGATGATGACGACGATGATGATGCTGATGATGCTGCTGCTGATGATGCTGATGATGCTGCTGCTGGTGATGATGATTGTGATGATGATGCTGCTGCTGCAGATGATGCTGATGATGCTGGTGATGCTGATGATGATGCTGATGATGATGATGCTGATGATGCTGCTGATGATGCGGCTGATGATGATGGTGATGCTGCTGATGGTGATGCTGCTGCTGATGATGATGATGATGCTGCTGATGCTGATGATGCTGCTGCTGGTGACCATGATGGCGAAGGCAGCAGGTCCGCCAGCGAGCACCCCTCGCAGCGATGCCACGGCGGCCACCCGCGACGAGCACGCCGAACAATGTGCGTGTGTGACGCGGCATTGAAGCAGAGAGCGACCCCGAGCGACTTGGGCGCGCGAGTTATCCGGGGTAACTCGGGTCCGGGGTAACGCGGGTTTGGATCCCGAAAAAGGAACCCGAGTTAGCCCTGACCCGAGTTACCCCTGATGATGTGGGGCTCTGGACGCCCGAGTTATCCGGGGTAGCTCGGGCCCGCGGCAACTCGGTTTCGGATTCCCGAAAAGCGAACCCGAGTTAGCCCTGACCCGAGTGAAGTGGGAAGTCTGGCGGGATGGCCGCACGAGGCTTCCCGGAAACTGACGCAAGACCCATGCATCTATGGAGAAGCACTTACGCCAGAAACGCTTGGCTCACGTGGAAACGGATCCCACACTTGCCGCGAGCTGTCATATCAGGTCCGCGGCGGAAGCCCTACATATGCGACGGGGGTGCCTCGATGCCTCCTGCGTGCGTTTCGTCGCGAATCGGCCGCGCTTCCAGGGCCCAATTCACCCCCAGATGCGAACAGATCGCGAGAGATCTTCGAGACAAACAAAGACTCACTGTGCTCGCCCACAATTCGATCATGAACGCCCAATTATTTGGGCGGGGAACTGGCCCAGAGCAAGTTCAGGGCGTCAGGGGACGCGACAACAGACGCCAGACGACGCACGTCTGGCCAGAAGAGGTATCCGGCA